CAAAGTGAGCTCAAGGTCAGCCTGAACTGCATAGCAAGACCCTGTCTCAAAAAGACAAAAAAAAAAAAAATTCAGGTCTGCCTGCTCGGGCTCTTGCCCATCCCACCCCCAAGAAATGAGGGTCGTTGTTCACCTGCTCCGCCAAGTGTGGGCCAGAAATTCTTGAGGTCTGTGTGAGAGGCTGCAACAGACTTAGGGAACAGCTCCTCTGCGGGACAGGAGAACAACACTGGAGGAGGGTGATGAGTAAGGGGTGGGGGGAGACGGAGAAGTGAACCATGGCCGCATACCGCCCCCCAGTTTCACTAAGGTCTTCCCAAACTCACAGCACACTAGGATCTGAGCCCTCAGGTGCCTCGTGGGGGTGGCTTTCCCAGAGGAGGAGAATGTCTGTGACCTTCCAGCACCAGCTGTCAGTCAGGTCTCACAAGCGCTTGCTGGGCTTTGTGACTAATGAGTGTTCAGCCCTACTATCACAGACAGCAGAAATATTCTAGGCAGTAAGACAGGGCCAGGTCCTCAAGGGAGTCAGTGCAGAAGATGAGAACACATCACAGCTGTGGCTGGTACACATCTGTCGAAGGCCAGGCCTCAAAATCCAATTGAAGTGACCAGGCCTACATGCCTCCCCAAGTTGAAGATTGGGGATATAGCTCAGTGGTACAAGCGCCTGCCTGGCAAGCTCAAGGTCCTGAGTTCGATTCCCAATACTAAAAAAATTAAAAAAGAAAAAGAAAAAAGAATGGAAGATTGTATTATATTTGGTATTACCTAGTCTAGGAAAGTCTAGATAGACACCAGTCACCCAAGTGGGTGGCCAGGACCTCCTGATCCATCTCTTCCTAAAAAGGTCCTTGTTCTTTCCATATATGCATGCTATGTGACCTGCTTCCCCATTGGATCAGTATTTCCTAAGAGGCTATACTTGCAATCTGATTGGTTGATCGTAGTTTTGACCCACCCCCATGATTTTGTACCCACCTTGTGACTGTGCTGTATAAAACCTCTTCTGTGGCAACCAACCCACTTCCGGCTCCCCTCCTGTCTCTCAGGAGTGTCTCCCTCCATAAATTTTTCCTACTCTTAACCTCTGCTGTTCCTTAGAATCCATTCTTCGATTGTGGAGACCAGGAACTGGGCGTGCCTGACGCCTGCAGGCTGGGAGTTACATTTATCCCCTGTGTCACTGCCACAGCCCGCTGAGGGTGGGACTCGGCAGTGGTCACGGAAGAGCCCCGGTGCGGACAGTGACTCTGGGTGGCACCTGGCTACGCTCTGCTTCAAGCCCCTGCCAGCGCTGGGGCACAGAGCAGCAGCCTCCTAATGTGTTAGGGGTCCGGGAGGGCAGGGGCTTGGGACAGAGGTGATGGTGGTGCAGCTGGGAGCCTCGCTGAGAGGACTCACATCTGGGGATGACTCAGACGTGAGGGCTGGGACCAGCACTTCCCTGTCCCTGCGGGCATGGTGGCTCAGAGGGACTGTCTGCAGCAGCCACAGGCTACTTCTTGTGGCTCAGACTGCTCACAGCTTCACAGAGAGCCGGGTTCCCAGGCGGACAACCAAAGCACAACACCCCAACAGTCCTGGTCAAAGCTGCGCGCCTCTTGTAACCTAAGCCTGGAAGTCACATCTTCCACTGTGTTCGCAGCTGAGGCAGCCAGGCAGCCATCACAGTTTCCGGCTCAGTTTTAATGGGAGAGGACCTAGGTCTCCACTTCTGTGGAAGAGTTGGGGAACCTTGGCTGCAACTGCCACACTCCATAACACCATAAATGAGGGCCCGTTGAAGTATCTCCTCAGCAAGGTTACATCCATGATTTTCGGGTGCTGAACATCAAAAAACAACTCCGCTTCTCACCACGGATGCCTGGAACTCCCAGGGACAGCCTTAGCCTTTCTCTTTGGGGACTCTTATTCTAAAACCGCTCCTCCAGCCCCCTTGACCGGGTGGACTAGGAATCCTCTTATGCCTGAGGGCCTGTGGACCCCCAGAACTGTCCAGACAGCACCTGTGGCTCAGAGCGGAGGAGGGAGCACTGAACCAGGGCTCCCTGATGTCCCTCCTGAAGAGGGGTGCAGTCTAAGTCCTCAGGATCAGCTTGGCCAAGGTCACGTTCAGCCAGCGGCTGGCCCTTCCCAGGAGCTTCTGTCCCCACACACTCCCTTGCCCCTGCCGCACCAGCTTCTGTGGGACAGGACTCTCCCCAGCCCTGAACCTCGGAGGAGTCTTCCTGCCTCCGGCCCCTAATCCAGTTTGGTCCAATGGCTCTCGAAACAGATTCAACCACTCGGGGCAGTTCTAGCTGGATGCCCACCCCACCAGCAGCGCTGGAAACAAACCACTGCGGGGGAAAGAAAAAGTTCAACCCAGGGAATTAGGTGCTTATGAACTCGTGGGTGGGGTGGTAGCAGCTAGAGAGGCGAGAAGCAGGAGGCGCCCTCCCAGTGCAGCTGGGACTTCGCAGACCTAAGGACACCACCGTGCTGCCTTCAGGATCAGGAATGGCTGCGGCTGAGTTTCCAACCGGCACGACCACCCCGCAGCGCCCATGATGTTCACGGCCAGACAGCGGGACACAGGCAGAGGCCGCGGCCACCTGAGCCCAGCTTGCTGGTCAGTGGAGATGGAGCAGGACGCGGCGTCCCCCACACCTCCAGCATCCCACCATGCACAAGTGCATCTGTTTGGGAACCCAGCACACCCCAGCGCTGCAGCAGGGTGCACCGAGAGGCACCGAGAGGCAGGAGGGAGTGGGGCTGAGTCCGTGCACAGCACTCAGCGCTGTGACGGCAGGGCAGGAGGGTGCCGAACCTGACCCCTTCTCAACTCTGCTCTCCGCGCCACCAGAAGACGTGGCTTCTTCCGTCTCGGGCACACATCCTCTGGTTTATTTCTGCTGCTGTTGCTGTGCCACCCCTACAGCAAAGGTAGATTGCACCCATCAACCTCTCAGCTTCCCAGCAGGCGGATGTCTTCTCTGCTGGAAAGTGGAAATGGAGCACCGAGGGTTCCCTTTGTCACCCTATCCCTTGAATCTCCCCCAAAGACACCTTTCTTAGCTATGCGCATTTCATTACCGAAGTGTATGAGCAATTTCGAGAAGGAATTACTCCTTCTGAGAGGAATGAAAGTCCTAACCAAGTTGGACTTTCCCTTGCATTTCACAAGAATTCTACGCTTCCCGCTCGCCTCTCCGGCAGCCCGGGGCGCTGAGGGAGGGGGTTGGAATCCCGTTACAACAAAGATCCTCGAAATCGGTCCCTTCTCAAGACCCCCACTAGAGGGCACTAAAGACCCACCAGTTCCTGCTCGGCCTGCTCTAGCCATGGTAACGGCCAGCATCTCTCACGGAAGAGTTCAGGTTAATGAGATGCAGGAAAGAGGGTTTCCGCACCTGCAAGGCACCGGTCCTGCCCCAGAGGTCCCCGTCATTCTGTCCAGAGCCCTTCCTTGCTTCCTGGTCCCCAGGGCTTACTGCAGTAAGAGAAAGGCTCAGGCCTAGGTTTCTTTCTTTGATTCAGAGCCCCCCTGCGAAGGAGGAGGCATTCCCCCAGCCCCGTACCCCACCTCCGGAGCGCCTGGGAGAGGATGGGAGGGATAGTGCGCCCAGACAGGTCCCCCTCCCACCCCACTGCACAGATAAGGAACCCCGGCAGGGACCCCGTGAGGGACGCGTTACAAGCCGCAGGTCCAGCCTCCCTCCCACGAGGTCCTGCCTGGAGGACAGCGGCTTCTGTGCAGGGCAGTGTGTCTGGGGGCGCCCCGCCGTGTCTGCTTCCCCAGTCATAACCTCCCCAGACTCCTCCATTTAGTAGCAGAAGACAGGCTGTCCCGGAGGGTGGGGAAGGAGAGGATGGGCTGCTCCTCCGACTCTCACCCACTCCTAGATGGGAGTCTTGTCTAGAGGGCTGCGGTAGTCCTCGGATGTCTCCCAGCAACCATTACTCCTTCTTGGGGAGGGAGGTGGGTCACTTCTCCAGTTGTTTCAGGTGTACACCCTGGCCCAAGCAAACTTTGTAGGGAACTACTCCTCTCTGGAGCCCAGGCTGCGCATACAAGATCATCCCGGCCACAGATATGCAGTCAGGATGCGCCTGTGACCCTATCCGGGCCCAGGGGACTTTTGCTGTGTGCTTCTCAGTCACTTTCTCACCCTGCTAGGAGAGGCTCCCAAAGCCGCCTCCCTCCCTCCAGGAACCTGACCCGGAAGCCAGAGCCCCGGGCGCGCTGTGCTCTCTGTGCCGCACGGGGGCGCCAGTAGCAGCTGGACGGGGCACCACGCCAGAGTGCAGGAGGAGCCCGCAGCACCGCCGCCCGAAGGCTCTACCCAGCCCGGAAGCCGCTCCTTGGCACTGGCCCGCCAGTTGAGCTGGTGGAGCCCCTTACTGTGTAACCCGTGTGAGCGAGGCATTTCCTTGCAAATGAAAGCTTGCTGCTAAGCCTAGGGCACTTTTCAAGACGTGGTCCCAGACATCCCCCCACCTCCTTCCTCTGAGGAATGCAGGCGGAAGGAAACACAGAGAGGCACACACATCAGCCACAGCGTGCGGGGCGCGGCAGTGAAGCTCTGCCTAGGTGCTGTGCGCGTGATGCAGGCGGCGCGGGCCTGGGCTGAGGCCTGCAAAGCCCTGGTGAGTGCAGTGCTTGAACCGAGCGGCCATCGGGTAGACAGACGAGGGGAGGGAGGTTGCCCGGGCTGCAGGAGCGAGGGCACCCAGGTATGCAGGTAGGAGAATCCGCAGGGCCAGGAATCTCAGGAGCTGGTGTGGTTTGGGAAGTTATAGCTGGAGAAGTGAGGTGGGGGTGTGGCTGAAGCTGAGAGATGTTCAGAGAGAAACGACGACCAGAGAGGGTTTGGGGGAGAAAAGATCACAGAGCAACGCTGTCCAACACAGATCTCTGCGGTGAGGGAGACAGCCTATACGGATGCTGTCCCGCGTGGAAGCCGCCAGCCACATGTGACTGGGGCACTCAGAAACGTAGCTAGTAAGACTAGAGGACTGATTTTGTCATTTTATTTAATTTTGATTAATTTACATGTCTTAAAGCCGCAAGTGGCTGGTGGTTACAGTACCGGACAACACAGTCCTCAAGGAAAGATAGGAAGGGAGGAGACTGGAGGCCGAAGTGAGGAGGCTGGGGAAGAGGCCCAGGTAACGGAGGCCAAGGTCCTGAAGTAAAGGGAAGGGATGGAAGAGGAGGCTTGGGTGCTGGGGACCGTCAGAACCAGAGCCAGGAAATCACGGAGCCCGACTAAAGGCGGGGAGGAAGGGGGCTCCAAGAGGACCCCGGGTGTGTGACCCAGGTGATGGGATGCTTCTTGCTTCTTCTCGAAGAACAGAAATACAGGACCAGCCAGCTTGGAGGAGGTCGTGCGCGCACTTCTGGAAGTGTAGAGACAGATGCCTCTGGGAGGCCGTTCCAAATCAAGTGCTGATGCCCAGTGGGGAGATGAGGCCACAGCTGGGAGCCCGGCAGCCGTCTTCCAGGCACAAAGGGAAGTTTGCATTGCCTCCATCATATTTTTTCCTATTAGAGCCTACATTTTAAAATTGGTAGATAAAAAATAAAATAAAATAGGTAGATGCTGGGCATGGTGGCGCTCACCTGTAATCCCAGTACTCGGGAGGCTGAGGCAGGATCACTGAGAGTTCGAGGCTAGCCTGGGCTACATAGTGAGTTCAAAGCCAGCCTGAACTACATAGCGAGAAGCTGCCTCAAAAATAAATAAATAAAAATAAATAAAAGACATAAAATTGGCAGAATTTATGTAAAAATCTGGATTTCCATCTCCTTTGGAAAAATCAGGGGCCAGGGTTGTAGCTCAGCAGTGCAGCGCCTGCCTGGCAAGCGCAAGGCCTTGAGTTTGATTCCTGGTACCAAAAAAAAAAAAAAGAAAGAGAAAAACCAGGTCGGAAAACATTGAACCTAAATTTCCTAATGTGAGTCACCTGGAGTTGCTTAGCCACCCTCCTTAGATAGTCCTTCTTTTTTTTTTTTTAAGTACCAAGATCAAACTCAGAACCTTGCCAGGCAGGTGCTGTGCCGCTGAGCTATATCCCTGGCCCTGACTGGGCAATTTAAAAAGAAAAATTTTATTAAACCAAATGTCATGGAGCACACCTGTAATCTCAGCACTCTGGGAGACTGAGGCAGGAGAATTCCAAGTTCAAGCACAACCTGGGCAATTTAATGACTTAGAAAGACCCTGTGTCAAACTAAAATAAAAGAAAAAATTTAGGACCAGGGATATAGCTCAGCAGCACAAGCGCCTGCACGGCAAGTGTAAGGTCCTGAGTTCAATTCCTGGTCCAAAAAAAAATTTTTTAAGGGGATGAGGGAAGTAGATTAGTGTAAAGATCCTGGAACCCTAGTACCTAGTACTGTTGGGGACCAGACCATGTGAGGGTTACACTGCTGACTGTGAAAGGACCTCTGGCTGTGTTGGAAAAGCTCATATGGACTGTGCTCGGAAGTCAAGATGACACCACAGCTGATGCTCCCTATTAAGGAGCAATAAAAAGAACTGTCAACTTTAGAGAGCAAACAGTTCTCTTAGTTAGCAAAATTGACTGCCTTTGTTCTAACTTCCAGGGCTTTGGGTTTATGTACCCTCCTCTTCCTGCACCCCCCGAAATCTGTGAAAACCAAACAAATACAAGATCTGGAAACCTCAGGGTCTTCACCCCAAGAGAGGTTTGACCATCCTGAGTTTCCCAAAAACTATACCACGCATCTCTCTTTATTTAAGGCTTCCATGTAACTCATTCTAGGAGACTGGAGGCTCGGCCAATCCTTGCTATAATACCACAAAAAAAGGAGGAGGAGGAGGAAGGGTGGGGGAGAGAGAGAAGAAAGAAAGAGCTGGGCATGGTGGCCCATGTTTATAATCCCAGCACTTGGGAGGCTGAGGCAGGAGGAACCCCATGAGTTTAAGGCTATATAATGAGACTCTCTCAAAAGAAAAAAAAGGAAAGGAAAACTAGAACATGAGATGGACGTGGTCATCCAGGGAAAACACAGGCTTGATCCACTGTTTTTTGGGGTTTTTTGTTTTTGTTTTTGTTTTTTGCCTTTTTGAGACAGGGTCTCACTATACAGTTCAAGCTGGCCTTGAGCTCACTTTGTAGCCCAGGCTGGTCTCGAACTCGCAACGATCCTCCTGCCTCAGTCTCTGGAGTGCTGGGATTACAGGCGTGCGCTGCCACACCCGGTTGATACACAGGTTTGATATGGGTTCACTATGAAGGTATTTTTGCATTAATTTTTATTTTATTGAATATTGCATTAATTAGTCCTGATTACTGAGTGTTCTACATTCAAAACAAGTGCTTCCCTCCCTTCCTCCTGGTCCGATCTCTGGGAGAGGGGTCTGCACTCCCCCACACCTACACCTACGGAATACCAGCACTGACTGATAACAGGAGCCCAGTCAGGAAACCACCTGCGTGGGGTGGGAGCTCAGAGCCCCAGAGGGGTGGGAGGAAGACCGGGCCACATTCGGTGTCGGTGGTGCCTTGGGAGGCCAAGCCAAACGTGACCAACACTCCAGGAGGTGGCAGAGGCCCAGGTTTCCTGAACATGTCTGCGCGGGGTCCCCGGGGTAAACTTCAAGAAAAAAGCTTTGTGAGACATTTTCAAATTCGAAAGCATTCTTATTTTTGTAATTAAATAGCTCTGTAATGAATCCGTTCATTTCCATTACCATAACATGAGCCAACATGCCAACCCCCAGCCATAACCACAGAAGCCAGTGTCACAGCTCAGAAACTGAAGATTGGAAAATATAACGTGACAAGCTGTACCGAGGTAAGCTCAGATTAACTTAGTAAAACATTACCAGTCAGCCTGCAGACTTGGCCAACTTCCCCGAGAGACGCGAATGAGGCCTTCAGGTGCCCTCGCTTTGGCCCCCGGCCCCTGCACCTCAGCCAGAGGCCTAGGCCACTGACCCTTGGCTCTGGGTCGGTTCATTTCAGGCAGCAAGGTTGCTGGCCTACCACAGTGATCAGCCAAACCAAAGCACACAAAACAGCCCTGTGAGGAATGGGCTTCCTCTGTGACAGCCATGCAGAAGGGAGAAGAAGCCAAGGTCTATAGCAATAGTGGCGAATCTACGGCACGCGTGCCATAGCAGGCTGTTTGCTATCACTGAAAGCTCAGAAAGGTTCGCCATCATATAACATTGCTGCAACCACAGAATACAACCAACTTTGGATGAAATAAATTGTAGCAAAAATGAAACCGTGGGGCCACATTTGCATTCTGCATAAAATTCTTTGAACATATTTGGCTATTGCTCCACATAGAAGTTTGTTTCATGTTAAGTTGTAGTTCAGAAATATTTTTTTGAATCACTCTTTGGGAAAAAAGTAAATTTAAATTTAGTAATGTGGCATTATAAACTGTGGAAATAAAATTAGTTTTGTACTGTTGTTCTGACAAAGTAAGGAAAATGTGCAATCTGAAGTGGCATGATTAATTTTTTCTAAAATTTTCTGCTCTTCCAAAGAGAAAGTTTTAAAGTTGGGCGTGGTGGCACACACCTGTAATGCCAGCACTCAGAAGGCTGAGGCAGGAGGATATTCACAAGTTTGAGGTTAGTCTGGGCTACACAGTGAGTTCAAAGCTAGCCAGAAGTACATAGTGAGACTCTCTCCCAAAAAAGAGAGAGAGAGGTTTTATTTTATTTATTTATTTATTTTTTGAGACAGAGGTTTTAGTACATTTCTCAAAGCATAGTTTTTGTAGAACAGTGGTCCCATGAGAGGCTCCTTTAAAAAAAAACAAAAGGGCTGGGGATTTAGCTCAGCGGCAAAAGCGCCTGCCTGGCAAGCGCAAGGTCGTGAGTTTGGTTCCCGGTACCGGAGGAAAAAAAAAAAGGGGGGGGGGCTATGGAGCCCTTGCCTAGCAGGCTCAAGAACCTGGGTTTGATCCCCAGCATCAAAAGGAAAAAGGAAGGCAGGTAAAGAACTCTGGTCTAGTCTACTGGGAAAGTCTGTCTGTCTGTCTGTCTGCCTTTCTCTCTCTCTCCAAGGTCTTGCTCCTATATTGCCCAGGCTGGGTTCAAGCAATCCTCCCTCTTCAGTTTCTCTTTTTTCTTTTTCATTTTTGGGGAGAGGGCAGAGGTTTTTTTGAGACAGTCTTGTTATATAGCCCAGGCTGGCCTTGACCTAAAGGCAGTCCTCCTGCCTCAGCCTCCCAAGTACTGAGATTACAGGCATGCCCTACCATGCCTGGCTTCAGCCTCTCTTTTATAGTCATCATAATACTGGCATATCATTGCCTCTTAAAATAACTACAATGGCCAGGTTTAGGTGGCACACGCTCATAATCCCAGCACTCTGGAAAGCTGAGGTAGGAAGACGCCAAGTTTGAGCTCAGCCTGGGCAACTTAGCACTTTGGTGAGACCCTGTCTCAAAATTTATCTTTTGCTTTTCTTTTTTTTTTTTTTTTTTTTTTTTTCGGTACCGGGAATTGAACTCATGACCTTGTGCTTGCCAGGCAGGTGCTGTGCCTCTGAGCTAAATCCCAGCCCCCTGTCTCAAAAATTAAAAGGGGCAGTGGAAAAAAAAATGGGGGGCAGTGGAGGCCAGGGATATATCTCAGCAGCACAGTGCCTGCCTGGCAAGCTCAAGGTCATGAGTTTGATTCCTGGTACCAAAAAAGGGGGGGGAGCTTAGGCAGGCCCTAGGTTCCATCCCCAGTATATGGTGGGGGAGAGTATGTGGGGAGGGAGCTGCAATAAAGAAACTTGTTTAATACAACAACCCCCCCGACTGATTAGACCCTGGATCCCTTTTTTATATAATACACATTAGGGTCCCTGGGGGAAGCAAAGGGGAAACGAGTGAGCTTGAAACCCCCTTGGAGAGACACTGCCTTCCCCTTGGGGGAGGGGAGGGGAGGGGAGACATAATCCCCTGCTTCCTACCAAATGGTTTTGAAATATTCATCATCTCTCAAATGACAAATGATGAAATATTGTTTCTACTTTTAGTTCATTTCCCCTACAATTCCTGTAACATTTGGTATGTGATAAAGACATTTTAAACAAAAAGATACATTCAGAATTGGGAACCAACAGGCCGCAAACTGTTCCGTTTAGCAGCCACCTGTGCCTCCGAAGTGGCTGACTGCACTCCCGGTATTTCCATCACCTTTGGGACGCTGCCCAGGTCCAAGAGCGTGCTGCTCACATTTTCAGCCAGTGACACGGCTGTGTCCCTCTCTGCCGTGCTAGCACACCTGGGAAAATATATCAAACTTGGTTTTTTTTTTTTTTTTGCAAGTTCATGAAGAGCGGAGTCTGAAGAACTGGCAGTACTGGAAACACTTTGGAGTTATTTGATTTCCTCAGAAAACTTCATGAATGCTAAATCAAAAAGATGAGCATGACAGTATCTGCCAATCCACCATACCCCCGCCTCAAACTCCGCTGTAACAGTTCTCTGACTCTTCTGATCATGCCAGCAGCATATCACATGATCAGCCCCCCTGTCCCCGCTCTTCGGTTCTAACAGATTCAGGGCCGTGAC